TCTACAATATGATGGCAGTGATGTAATATATTATGTTATAATAACATATATCATATGTTTCTATACTATACTTTACTATATCATATAATACTACATTATGCTAACAATATAGTTGCATACACGAGTACATGAATGACCATGGTCAACCGACCGTGTCTTGACATTGGTTTGGCATGAAGGTATGCCCTGGCTGCAGCAATAGGCCTGGGCGCTGGGTTTAGTGTTCAACGGTTTCGTGTGTGCTTACAGCTTGCTTCTTGGAGCGCAGGCCTCAGGATCCAGCGAGTGTCTCGCATCTTGGAGGGTTCACGCCTGAGGCCCATAACGTGACGCTTCCTCACTAGCCAGACCTCACCCGAAGCCTTAGGCACATAAACGCGACACCCAAAGCCGACTAGTCTTAGAGCCCTCAGCTCCTCTTGGAAGCATTTGGAGTCTCAGATATTCGGGGCTTTAGGGCTGGCTGGTGAGGGTTCACTGTCTCATCCCTGCCGGAGGCATAGCCTTTGCTGGCTTTTCCGTCACCTTTCCGAGCCTTAGCTGTTAGGTTGTTTAGTTTGCTGCCGTGGAATTCGGGGTTAACATGAAGGCCTGCACGACGTCACGAGGGATTTTGGGGTCGATGATTTTGCTATAAGAGCGGACCACAAGAAACAATGCTGCTATTTGCTCAGGCCTCTACATGACGTGCTTGTAGGCTTGCGGGTTTCAGGCTCATAAACAACTATAGCTCTTACAGCGTTTACTGCATCTCCCATACAGCGTTTACTGTGTCTCCCAGTGTTCCATGTAGACCAACGATGCTGAACCCAAATCCTTACAAGCTCTAAGCCCTGAAACCTAAAGACTTGACCTCAACCCGCCCATCTTCGATTTCGAATCTTCAAGTCGTGTGAAGCGAAAGCCTGTACATCCTCAACGCCCGAATCCTCATCTACGCCTTCATTCCCGAACCCAGCACCCGAGAGACGAAGCACTGCAAGGATGGGTCCAACGTTGATCCAGACTTTTGGGATGTCGCAGCTGCAGTTTGGAACGCTGACGACAGCCTTCGCCATTGCGAAGCTGCTGGGTGTAATGTCGGGACGGGTGCAATTATGCAACAAGTATTTCCTTATTCCCTTCAGAATAAGCGGTTGACTGACATACCCCAAAACCACAGTCTAATTGCTAAGCCCTTATCTTAGTTGTATAGTGTTTGCTTGATTAGCGGGTGTAGCGTTTGGGTTTACCGTGGCTCGGTTCACCCAAGGTGCAGATCCTGGGGTGCTCAGGCTTCCGAGCTTTCAGAGTCACTTCTTGTTGTTTTGCGGCCTTGAATTGATTAAGTCTGCAAATCCGATCTTAGCTTCAGCCACGCAGTCTCCAGCCTCAACGCCAGGGCCAAGGAAGCCCATGTGAGGGTTTCCGAAAAGAAGGGGGTACCTTATTTTGGTGTCCTTATAATGAGGATCTTACTATTTAGGGTACTATGTTAGGGTCCTCAGCCGACTCTGGAGTCGCTACAGCTGCCACACAACCACTTTCATGCAAGCTTTCGGTACCCAGAGGGTTTAATCGAAGTGCGACACACCATCGGTCGTCCTGATCCAAATCATGTCGACTGCTTTAGGAGGCTTGTAAACTAAACCTGAACTTCAGAGGTCGGGAGTGACGTAGTACAGGCTGTCCTGCAATCCCCAACCCAAACCAAAACTTTTACAGACGCTTGTTCTTAGGGGTACTTGGAAATTGTTTTAATTTTGGGTTACTGCAACCCAAAAGAAACAGCCAAGTTCTCTTTTTGCAACGGTGCCAAGTTCAGCATAGTTTTTCTCTAAGCCCGAAACCTGCCATCCTCGCCAAAGGCTTTGTGGGAACATTCCGTCTTCAATCCTATCAGAGGCGCATCTAATGCTGATCATCAGGGGACCGTTTGCAACCTCACGATCTGGGATGTACATGTTCACCTTGAAACAGAGCTTGCAGTGGATGCGCTCCCCGATGTGTTGAAGAGGGTGAGCTTTTCTACTCTTCGAAGCAACTTCGCCCACATCATGTGTGAACTTGTCGACTCATGCAGACGCTATGCAAGCAAATGCATATGAAATGTGTGTGTGTGTATGTATGTATGTATGTATGTATGCATGTATGTATGTATGTATGTATGTATGTATGTATGTAGGTATGTATGTATGTATGTATCCATGTATGTATGTGTGTGTGTGTTATGTATGTGTGTATGTTTGTATGTATGTAAATATGTGCGTATGTAAATATGTATGTATGTCTGTATGTATATATGTGTATATATATATATGAATGAATGAATGAATGAATGAATGAATGAATGAATGAATGAATGAATGAATGAATGAATGAATGAATGAATGAATTGAATGAATGAATGAATGAATGAATGCATGAATGCATGAATGCATGGATGCATGGATGCATGCATGGATGGATGGATAAATGAATGGATGGATGAATGAAATGAAACGAAACGAAATGAATTGAAATGAACTGAATTGAAATGAATGAGTGTATGTACGTGTGTTTGTTTGTTTGTATTTCTGGGGGTATGTATGCATGCATGCATGGATGTATGCATGTATGTATGTATGTATGCATGTATGCATGTATGTATGCATGAATGGATGTATGTATGTATGCATGTATGTATCAGAATTGACTCACACAAATATGCCTGCTGCGAATCCAGCGAATTCCGGTGAGCGCCAGTCGTCAAACTTGCCTTTGATCGAAGCCCAGGAGTGTATAAGCCGAGATTCTTCCATGTCTCGTTTTTGGTAAACCCTGCGACTCTTAAGCTTGAACCCCAGCCTTTGCACTCGAAGCCCCAAGCCGAATTCGGGCGCGAGTTTGCACCGCAGGCCTATGGACGCAAGCCGCTGTTAGTGGGCGGCTTGCTCTCGATTGCCACAGGCGAATGGGACTAAAGACATGAACCTGTTCCATTGTAGGGGACCGAACTCGGAAAACCGCGAGAGATGCTGGTGGGTTCGGGACGTCTAGTCGAGAGGCTGCTGCTTCGAGCAGTTTTAGCCGGTTATACTTTCAGGCAGGTCGATGGACAGACCAGAAGTCCGCAACGTACTAGCATGACCTTGTCCTTCTGCTCATCCTTATGTCTCTGGATGATCTCCGGGCTTTGTTTGTGCCGGCCTGGTTCTGAACTTCCTTGGTCCAAGTTGTCTGGGACGCTTGTAGGGTTTGGGCTTATTGGTTCAGTCTGCTTCGGGGCCGGTACTTCGGTTTCTGGGCTGTGTGGGTCAAACCGCTCGCGCTCTCCTCTTGTAGCTTCAACGTTACGAATGGGTTTGACAGTTCCGACCCTGCTGTCAAGCCAAGTAGTTAGAAGTTCAGGGTGAGAGTTCAGGATTTTGAAGGGTCGAGAATTGGGCGCCGCCTCCCTGATCAAAGACTGTGATGACGCCACATGGCATGCTTCAACGCTCTTCTTTTGAGTTATTGCTGAATGTAGTAGTTGAGCTCTGTTGATAGAGGTAATTCTTCTCCATGTTAGATCATGCCGGAGTTGCCGGCCAGCCAACAATCCGGAAGCCGTTGCAGTCGACATCCTGAGTGACCGGATTGACCTCTGGCACAGCCATGCTTTCAGCGCAGCATCGGCCAGAAATTACGTTCTCATTTGTCTTTCATGGACATTCACCAGCCCCAGCTCCATTCCCACACTGCCTACAGCCACCAATACCGGCTCCAATCCCAGCGCAACATGCCTTGCCAGCCCCTCCGTTCCCTGCACCCCCAGCACCTTCGCCGCTACACCCCTTGCCAGCCCCCCACTCCATTCCCGGCACGCCCCGCCTTCCCAGCCCCTCCTCCATTCCCAGCAGGCCTCAGTGGTATCACGGGCGACCTTGTGAGTCTTCTTCTCTGTTGCAATCAGTCAAGGACATCGATGTCATACCCAAGCCGGCAAAGCGCCGGAGGTGTCGGGGCCTGTCTTCAAGTTCTGAGTCTTCCGGAAGGCAGAGGGCCCCCGAGGAAGTCAAGCATCGACTTGAGCAAAAGGCACTGTCTCGGAAGCTCGCCACGACAAGAGCGAAGCTTGCAGATGCTGAGCTTGCCCTGCATGATGAACGAGAGAATCGAAAGACCAGGGAAAGCCGGCTATATCTGCAAATCGTCCCTTCGAAGCAATTGGCAGTTGCCGAACCCGTTTGATTGAATAAGGACCGGCCAGCGTGGTGCAATTATATACTTTTTGCTAGGTACGAGTTGAATGTGGGTTGGGCTGCACTGTGACGAGGCGACGCTTGGAGCTGACCTGTCCCGCGAGGAAAGCTTGCGGAAGCACGCCGAAGCGGAGTCTGAGGACGCGAAAGCGCGGTTGCAAGATCTGGCAGCTCGACTTTACAAGTCCGGGTCACCAACACAGGCGCGCACAAATGCATGCACGGACACACGATCACAAACACATGTGCACGAAGAGACACACACACAAGAAAGCACACTTAGCAAGCAAGCAAGCCAAAACAGCACACGAGCATGAATACATATGCGCACATGGACCGACCCGAAGACAAAGCTGCAGGATGGGTGTTGGCAACTTCTGATTCGGTATCAAAACGATCCAGAAATGCCTGAGATGGAGTGCTGGAAATCGTCCTCCTATTGCAACGAGCATCAAGCCAACCGAGGACTGTTACAGTAGTTCTACACGTTTCCTGTGGTTAGGGCTCCAAAACCTTTCACAGGGTCAACTCGAGTGTCTTATTGTAAAATGCTATACTCTGCAATCCCCGGTATTTCCAATCAGTAGGTTGGTTCATCCGTATGTCACATGTCTTGCTAGCAGCTTGGCATTTGCTTTGCTGGAGACTATATCAAGTATATGTAGGATTGCACTGCCGTGAGTTCTTGAGTACGTCACGTCATGCGAAATGAAAATTCTACAACTCCGCAGAGTTAAAGATAGATTCAACGTTTTGCTGTTGTTGCTAGGGACGTCCGGTAAAGTAGCGTTAGTGGGTATGATTGGTAGTTGTGGAGATACTTAAGAAACTTCGTAAATGTACCAGCATCGTATGGTTTATGTGAGGTGGTTTCGAGTGGCTACAGTTCACAGATACTGACTCTGGTATCGGCACAAGGGAACACCTGAAGCACAGCTAAGGAAGCAAGGCTGCAAGACACCGCTGCTGCGCTTGCCAAGGAAAGAGAGCAGAAAGAGATTGCTGAGAAGAAGTTTCTCGATGTTCAAGTCCGCAAGCATTCTGGTGGTCATGGTGCTTGTTGGCAATACGAGATGGACGGTCATTGGCACCCATTCTCAGCTGAGGGCAACGATCAGATGCAGCAGGCATACTTGGCATTCATTGATGATGAGCATAACTGCCGCTGGGCAAATGTTGTTGCCGGAGGGGTTCGACGCATGGTTGATTTTCGGGACATGACACAGACGAATGTGGACACCGGAAAGAGACGAGCGATTCGAGTCGTCACCGGAGTGCCTTTACAGTGGGAGAGTGCTCCGGCCGCTTTGTTGACACAGCGTGATGACCTGAGATCAGTCTATGTCGAGGTCAACGACGCATCACTAGCTGAAGTCGTCAACCGCCTTCTGCGGTCGTCAGGACATGCCTGGGATGTGTCAACTGAATGCTGTCATATGAAGAAAGCCACTGTGAAATCAATTCACCGGATCGAAAACTACCAACTTTGGCAGCGCTACCAAGCGAGGCTACGTGCCATGAGGGAAGACCGCGCCAAGTACAATTTGCAGTCAGAGCCTGCAGCTCTTGATCTTGATGGTCGTGAGGGCGTCATGACTGAGAGCCAGCCGTACTTGGATTGTGGAGAGCCGTTGGCACGCGACGTGGATGAGAAGATACTGCTACATGGCACGTCATGGGACAATGCTGATTCCATTGTCATGCATGGCTTTGACAACCGGACTTGCATGCGAGGAATGTATGGAGATGGCACCTACTTTGCAGGTGCTGCATGCAAGAGCCATCAATACTCATGTGCGTATCAGTGCAAATGGAGCTCCACTTGCCTATGCGTATGCGAGAGGACACTGATCATAGCTCGTGTTGCACTCGGTGATGCTTACTATGCATCCGAAACCCGATATGGAGCAAGGAGGCCTCCCAACCGGATTGGCTCGAAAAGTACGCATGGTTCGGTTGTGGTCAATCCTGGACCAGTGAAGGGGCATAAGCAACCTGTCCAAGTGCATCAAGAGTTTGTGATTTTTGATCGTGAACAGGCGTATCCTGCCTTTGTCGTGCAATACTGGCCTTGACAATTTTCAAGCAAGATGCATCACGGCGACACAAAACGCGAGTGGCGCTTGCTTGCCGGATGTTTGGGAAGATTGAGAGTCAACCACCCCACTTGAAGCCCACCCAGAGCGTTCCGAACACTATCCGTAGACTCAGGAGACTGGAAGTCATGGTGCCGTGGAATGCATCGAACCCCATAAACGCATATTGCAGCTTACAGCAGACCTGCGTAACATGCAGCGCCGCCGGCCGGCAGGTATCGCAGGAGTGGCTTTTGCCAGCTGCTATGAACAGCTCATGGTGCTCAGGCACAATCTCTTCTTTCGGCATGCATGAGGTTTGAGCAGTGGCCACATCCTACAGTTTTCACGGGCCGTACTGGTAGGTTTGAGTCCGCTAGGTTCTTCAAAGTTCCCAAGAGACAGATTTTTTAGAGAAACAGTGCAGACGTGTAACCCAGACCCGAAATCGGAATGTTAATGCGAAGGCTCTGTGAAGGCTCGAGATCAGAAGTTTGTCCGGAACTTGAACGAAAGCTTCAGGCACCAAGAACTTCTAGCAACGAACACATGAGGCCCTAAATCTTAAGACCACAGAGCCGAAAGCTCCTGAACCCTGAAGCCCTGCAGCCCGCCAGCCCAGAACTTAAACCCCGCAGCAATACGCAAAACCTCCAAAGCCCTAAAAGTCCCTAAATCCTCAAAGCCCAAACCCCCCGAATCCCTAACACCTCCCAAACCCNNCCCCCCCCCCTCCAAAAAAAAAAAAATGAAAACAGAAGCCTTGTCCGTTTCCCTCCTTTGCTTCAGGCTGGCCGTGGGCGTTGGCGTTGCCTCGACCTTCACCTCGGCAGGCCTCGGATTTCGGGTTTTGGCGTCTTGGACCTTCGGGTTTAGGATGTAAGGAAAGTTACTTTTGTTGGTATTTGAGGAACCCCGAAAAAGTAACCCTTTAGGCATATTATGCGTGTAACCTAGGACTTGACAGTTTCAGCTTGTGTTTAGGTTTGGAATTCGGGTTCGAGGGTGAAAGGCTTCGGTCTCACGTTGTGGAGGCTTAGCCCTGCTTTAGGGCGCGGCAGGTATCAACAGTACAAAACAGCTTCAAGGCCGCCAACAGCATCAGAAGCATACGCTGTGCGAGGTTTATCCATACTGACAAGGTCAGAACATGTTAGCACGTTTGTTGTCTCATAGTTCTCGTGAGCAGAATGCGCTTCTGAGGCATGTACGTTACAGACATCTCCCACCCGCTGAATTCGGCACGTACCCGGGCTCCGATGCTTGGTCTGCAATCACCAGCTCTGTGGGCTAACGGTCTGAGGGGGTAAACCTGAACCTGTAGGAGCCACCCAGATCCCTAGGGCAAGATCAGAAGCAAAACCTATTCAAAGGCATCGGAAGCTCCCTTCAAGAATCGCGATCTACGTGGATAAAGGTCTCGGGTTTAGATTTGGCTTTGTGTGCGAGGTATGGGGTGCATTCCCAAATCCCTCGACCTTACTCTCAACTGACGGCATTCGCAAAAGTTGAAGCCCCGTACCTTCAACCAGAAAGTCCAAGTCCAGGTCCAGACCCCAGGCCCCAAACCCTCATGGCCCTAATGTACCTATAAAGACCTCAAATCAAATTCCTCAAACCCCCAAAGCCCCGCCAAACCTCCCTTTAAAGCCCAGGATGCAGATGGGCATGTCTGCGGGCTTGCTCTGCGGGCCGGCTCTTGGAGGCTCCTTCGCTTGCAGGAGCCGGGGCTTGGGTTGAATGTAGGGGCGGGGGGGGTTGGGGTTTAGGGTT